CTAACTTGAGCAAACCCTGTGATTACATGGGAATTATAAAGTTCGTGTGAGCAGCAAAAGAAGTGAATTTTCTGATTTTACGTCCGATATCCGTCAGAATAGGGTCCTGCCATGCGATCTGTTCAATTAAATGACAGAATGGTTTCTTAAACTCACACTGGCAGAACATCTTGATGTAATGATCGATCATGATCCCCGCATTACACACCTTGAGTATGCTGGATACATTGCAGTTTTCCGGAGAGCTGCTCTTCAGAAACGCTGTGACAGACGAGAGCGATGGCAGCCGACGTGGGGTTTGAAATAAACTCCTGTAAAATAGAGTTGATGGCTGTTGGCTTTGTAGTAGGGAATATCTGTCCTACCATGGTAGATGGTGGAGTCAAGTGGTTGGTAGACAGATACCATCACCGTTGAACAAACATTTTTCAAAGGGGGCAAAAACTTGAAGGGAGTCATGTAACCAGAGCCGCTGAGGACCTTAACTGAAAACGTGGGTGGACGTGCTGAGGGCTGACCTCGAGAGCATTTCTAAGTCTGCAGTCATTGGGCTGCTGGTTGCCGGTGACCGACTCTAATGAAGAAAAATCAATATTCACATTGTTGTCCTGCCGCCCAGATTCGGTTATACAAATCATGTCAAGTGGTGAGAAAAGTACAAAAGACCGCTTAGAACACAGCCAGCTAAATTCTTCCCTTTCCTAGTCGTCAGGCATAGCTTCCTGGGAAGTCGTATTGCTGCAGATAGAAGTAGAGTTGGTGCAGTTAATCAGAGGCAGTGGCGAATGTGAGACGAGCGGAACTTCGCGCCAGAGTGAATGATCTTGGACAATGAATGTTAAACGACTAGTGATGTATGCAGGCTATTTAAAAATTCAGTCAGTATGAAACGGGAATATGTCGATTCACACGAACAGCCCTACAAATTCCTACTTAAATTTATACACAAGTGGGACCGTATCAAACGCAATAGACGCATCTAAGATACTTCGCTTGTTCCTGAGAACACTGCACTATCCCCTAAGTGATCCTATTTTAGTAACTGAGCGTTGCGCCCTCACATAAGACCAGTGATCTGATTGGTTGCAGCCTCTGACGACAATAACGCGATGGGAATGCCGGGCGGATTATGCCAGCAAAGACTGTTGATAAGTGGCTCAACCACAAAACTAGTCGCCGACTGACCATGATGGGTAAAACCTCGGTTAGTGTCATCGCGGATGAGAGCCGCGATGAAATTTTTTCGGTGCAAGGGCAATACAGAGTTAGAACGAATAGCATTTGCTACACTCGCAGAGACGACATCGGCTGCGCGAATAAAAACAAGCCGTACTATCACCCCTTAGGTATATTCCATTAGCTCGTAGTTTCAGAAATGTAGCGGCCTACTTAGACCGGTAAGTCTCCTATTTTGACCGCGACAGCACCACACGGACAGCAGCAGCAGCCGCAGCCGTGCACACGTACGCGTAGCTAGGGTTCTTGCATGATGGCGAGCAACATCCGCTAACCAGCGAACGGAATACTGACAAGCACTCAATGCTAAATACACAGGAAAAACATTCCAACTAATTGCTAACATGTTTCTGACCTATCGATAGTGTTAAAAAATTAAATGCAATTATTTAAAGGAATAAAAGTCCGGAACAAGAAAATAAAGGCTAAAATTATCCGAACTTGTTCGTAAAACTGACCAGATATAATGAACAACTAATAGTCACACGTGGGTTGATGAAATTCGGCCGGTTCAACAAACAGGACTGGTTCGCACAGCTGTAGCGGGCCGGGAATGTCGAGGTTGGCACACACCTAAAGGAGTAATTC